ACGGACCTCCCAATCGATGCAGGCCCACCAACATTTGAAGAGATCAGCATGACTATCAGACAAATCAAGTGTGGCAAAGCAGCAGGACTAGACAACATTCCAGCAGAGGCACTGAAAGCAGACGTAGCGGCAACTGCAAGGATACTTCACATTCTCTTCAGAAAAATTTGGGATGAGGAACAGGTAACAAAAGACTGGAAAGAAGGACTTCTGGTCAAAACATCAAAGAAAGGCGATCTCAGCAACTGTGACAACTACAGGGGAATCACTCTCCTCTCAATACCAGGAAAAGTCTTTAACAGTGTATTGTTAAACAGGATGAAGGACTCCGTAGACGCACAACTTCGAGACCAACAGGCAGGATTTCGTAAGGATAGATCGTGCACAGACCAAATCGCAACTCTACGGATCATTGTGAAACAATCAATTGAATGGAATTCATCACTCTTCATCAACTTGATTGACTACGAAAAAGCATTTGATAGCGTGGACAGAACAACCCTATGGAAGCTTCTTTGACACTACGGTGTGCCTCAGAAGATAGTCAATATCATACGGAATTCCTACGATGGATTAAACTGCAAAATCGTTCATGGAGGACATTTGACAAACTTTTTCGAAGTAAAGACCGGTGTCAGGCAAGGTTGCTTACTCTCACCCTTTCTCTTTCTCCTCGTGATCGACTGGATCATGAAGACGTCAGCATCTGAAGGGAAGTACGAGATACAGTGGACAGCTAGGATGCGATTGGATGATCTAGACTTCGCAGATAATCTGGCTCTTCTATCGCATACGCAACAACAAATGCAGGAGAAGACAACCAATGTAGCTGCAGCCTCAGCAGCAGTAGGTCTCAATATACACAAAGGGAAAAGCAAGATTTTCCGATACAACACAGCATGCACCAATTCAATCATAATTGACGGAGAAGATTTGGAAGATGTACAAACCTTTACATATTTGGGCAGTATCATCGATGAACACGGTGGATCTGATGCAGATGTGAAGGCGAGGATCAGCAAAGCTAGAACATTATATTTACAACTGAAGAACATCTGGAACTCAAAACAGTTGGCAACCAACACCAAGGTCAGAATTTTCAATACAAATGTCAAGACAGTTATACTGTATGGGGCCGAAACCTGTAAAACTACGAAAGCCATCATCCAGAAGATACAAGTGTTTATTAACAGTTGTCTACGCAAAATACTTCGGATCCGCTGGCCGGACACTATTAGCAACAACCTACTATGGAAGAGAACAAATTAGATCCCAGCGGAGGAACAAATCAGGAAGAAGCGATGGAAATGGATAGGATACACATTGAGGAAAGCACCCAACTGCGTCACAAGACAAGCCTTCACACGGAATCCTGAAGGCCGAAGGAGGAGAGGAAGACCAAAGAACACATTACGCCGAGAAATGGAGATAGATATGAGAAAAATTAACAAGAATTGATGGGACTAGAAAAGAAGGCCCAGGACAGAGTGGGTTGGAGAATGCTGGTCGGCGGCCTATGCTCCATTGGGAGTAACAGGCGTAACTAAGTAAGTAATGTGGTGTGGCAACTTGGACCGATGCATATATGTGCCTGGCCCTACATTGTTGCAGACTGATGTCCTGCTAAACAGGCTCAAAAATTGGTCGCAAAGCGGTCGATGTCTAATCCTAGAGGACTTTAATGCACCCATGGTAGACTGGGAAAATCTGCGAACCGAATCATCAGATAATTCCTTCGAGCAGGAACTAGTTGATGCGGTTATAACATGTGTTCTAGTGCAACATGTGGAAGAAGTGACTAGGTACGACCCGGACACTGAATCATCCTTACTAGATCTTATATTAACTCACTATGAGGATGACGTCGCGAACCTCCTTTACATGCCACCCCTAGGTAAAAGTGATCATGCAGTTTTAACTTTTGACTTCCATATAACTGTCAATCACGAGCAAGCGTCAACTCAATCCAGACCTAACGTCTGGAAAGCAAGCATACCAGATATCATGCACTCGGCATCATTAGTAGATTGGACAATAGACCCAGAGTACTCAATTGAAACGGCTTGGGATGCATTCGGAAATTTATACTTAAAAGTTACCGCACCCCACATTCATTGGACTATACCAAGGGGGCCGAGAAACTCCCCACCATGGTTCAATAGGGAGGTCCGCATCCTTCTTCGTAAGAGAAGAAAAATGTGGGATAGATTCAGGTTGATGGGGACTGATGAGACAAAATCTCAGTACCAAAAAGCTAGGAATACCTGTGCCTCGACCCTCAGTAAGTCTAGAAAGCTGTACGAAGAAAAAATTGTTAAGGAATCCATAGAATGTCCTAAACGCCTGTATTCCTATATAAACCAAAGGACAAAAAGAAGAGGAATTATTCCTGCACTATGGGGAGACAGTACTGCCGCATCATTAGTGGAAGATGACTTGGCTAAGGCTCAAGTGTTCTCAAACTACTTTAGCAATGTATATACCATAGAAGCACCCTTCCCGTCAGCGCATACAAACCCCCCCCCACATACACTGGATAGCGTGACCATTAATAAACTCGATGTCTTTGATCTGCTAAATAAGCTTATTTATTTATTATTTATTTATTTTAACACATAGATATTGGTACAAGGAGGCACCAAATAAATATGCGCCACACAGATCTCATTTGATATGTGTGAGAGCTGTGATACTGCTCGGGTGCCCAAACCAAAACAGGTGGTTTTATTAGGGGGCCACACCCCGAGCCTTTGACCTGAACGTCTGACCCACAAGGCAGTGGAGCATCGTAAGGAGATGCAGTCCCATGGAAGCCGGTGACCAACGATTGGTTCATACGCCATTTGTTCCTTCAGGATGCTGGAGCCCATGTGCACCATTGGTTTGGGATCTGGTTACAGCGCCGGACACTGGCTTTTCGTCCTCTCATTTTCGTAAACAACACTCCCGCCACCAGAAGGCAGTGAGTAGGACTTCCCTGGCAGAGGCTATATACGCGGTGGCCATGTGAGAGCATTTCGAGAGAGAGAGAGGACTCTCCCCACTCTCGGCCGTACCAGGGCATTTGGGGGCGCTAAATAAGCTTGACATAGGTAAATCCATGGGGCCTGATGAATTGCATCCTAGGCTACTAAAGAAATTATCTAACTTCGTTGCGAACCCTTTAAGTATATGCTTTAAACTATCCGTTACGCAGGGTCGTTTACCAAAAGACCGGAAGAACGCCATAGTGAGTCCTGTCTTCAAAACAGGTACGAAACATAAACCTGAGAATTACCGACCCGTTAGCCTAACTAGTGTGGTTGTTAAAATCTTAGAAAAGATTATTCGGAACGAGCTGTTTAAATACCTCGATGTAAACCGAATCCTCTTGGAGAAACAGCACGGTTTCAGAATAGGTTATTCTTGTCTCACTTGAGAAAGCTGGTGCGCTTATAAGAACTAAAAGTTACCTGTAGACGTGGCTTACATTGATTTCAGCAAAGCTTTTGACAAGGTTCCGCACAACCGGCTGTTATATAAGCTAAAAAATGTCAGAATTGAAGGCAATCTATTGACATGGACAGAAGACTTCCTTGTTGGGCGCCAACAAAGAGTACGGGTAAACTCAAAATTATCTAGCTGGGAAACTGTGCTTAGTGGAGTGCCCCAGGGTACAGTTTTGGGGCCAGTGCTATTCCTCTTGTATGTAAATGACCTTCCTCGCTTAATATCATCATCGGTCTTGCTATATGCTGACGATGTCAAGATATGGAGAACGATATGATGTAAGGGTGATAGCTTAGAACTCCAAAATGACCTGAAGAAATTATCCGAATGGTCTCATACATGGCAGCTGCCGATAAATATTTCCAAGTGTGTTGTGATGCATATCGGTCATCAAGGTTCAGATACATACACGATGAATAACACTGAGCTACCTGCTGTCCAGACACAATGACTTAGGAGTCATCGTTAGCCGAGATCTGAAGACTACTGCACACTGCCGTGCAATAGCCGTCAAAGTTTTTAGAACTTTATGGTCAATACGTAGGGCTTTTACTCATGTCGACGCTCAAACGTTTTTGACTTTGTATAGTCTTCGTACGTCCTAAACTTGAGTACTGCATACAAGCGGCTAGCCCATGTTTAAAAAAAGACGGTGAGCTTTTGGAAAAGGTCCAGAGAACAGCTACTAAGCTGATTCCCGGAATAGCGAAGCTTCCGTATGATGCTCGATTGTCCAAGCTAAACCTATTCCCTTTGTCATATCGTAGAACTAGAGGCAACTTGATTACAGTTTTCAAATTGCTTAGTGATAAATTTGCACCTGATATGCCCTCATTTTTCCTGTTTTCCAAAACAGAGAATTTACGAGGACACTCTAAAAAAGTTCACAAGCCCAGAACAAATTACTTGTCAGCTGATTATCGACCTTCCCACCGAATCATCAACGAGTGGAATTCATTACCTCAACACGTGGTTGAAGCTTCATCCGTAAATTCTTTCAAAAGAAAGTTGGATCAACTGAGAGAACAAAATTTCCAGGACTAACACAGGCCATCAAGCCTCCTGTCCTTTCCAAACCGAAACTTCTCAATGCTTGGTAATTGCGGCCCTTTAGGATTGTGCACAGAGTAGCTATATTATTGTGCAGCTCTCCTTTATGATAGGGCAATTTATTCATTCATAAAAAAGGATGAGGAACTCTCCAAAGCTTATGGTCGTCCGATAATTGAGTTGGATTCAATAATAGTAAACCGCATTTACAGACTCGGGCAAAGACATTGTAGCCTCACATTGAAATCAATATAGTGTGCTGACATGACATGATTACGTTAGCATGAAGCAACCTTAATGCCATTATCTGAGATTTTAGCACAGTAAGATTTAAAACGTTACATATGATTAACTATACATCACAACACTAAAACTAGGAAAAAATCGAAGGTATTGATCAATGTTGACTCTAGACTGTCCTTACGATACTAGCTTGTGAGCCGGTGAGAGCGTCAACTTACAGTGACATCGCTGAATAGCTCTGACATTAGAACTACTAACGAGATTAGGATTTTCTTTTGTACTGGGCTTGATTTCTCCACGACCGGTGTCCGGCTAAAGTGGTCGATCAATTTATTTAACCTCACATACTTCTACTTCTGAAATCTCCATGATAAGATCCTCTTGTAACCACGACAGCTTACTTTCCACAGGGACATTCAAATCTCCAGAAACTATATCAAGCTTAGTGAAGTCTTTAGCTAACCTGTATCGAAAAGATTATGGTTGTTGGTAATAAACTTGAGCATTCTGTCTTTTATTCCACCGGCAACAGCAGGACTCACTGAAGACGAACATCGAGGTAGCAATGTCACTATAGACGACGCTCGCCTGAAAATAGGACAGAGAGCCATTTAAATGATAGCGCTTGGCGCCCAAAGCAAGGCACGACTTCCACATAGACTTTTCAATGAACAATACATCTCTAAAACGCTCATACCTTACTGGATAAAAGTCAAGTATTTTAAGGTGTTCTTCATAAGTTGCAGAAATGAATCCTGAAACTGATTCCATGCCCAGCCTTTGGATATGTACCGGTGTATGCATATTATTCTCGAGTGAAGGAGGGAACGCTGTTTATATAGACTAAATAGGACCGAACAAAACTACTTAGGATTAAGTGGATCTAACACAAAATGCGATATTTCTTTACAAGTTCTAGTTTAGCATAAAAGGCAGTTTCGTTGCAGCTAGCGTAAGACTTTGGGTCATAGTTTACCAAGATCCCTAGATCACTTTCAACTTTGGAGACTTCCAAAGGGGAGTTATCTAAGTTGTATGAGTTATCTGAAACATGTTTCAAATAGACTAATTTGCGCTTTGAAATGCTGAAAATGAATTCGTTGTTATCCGCTCAACTTTAAAGCAGTCGTATCAAACTTAAAAACCAGTTGATCGTGTTGTTTGTTAAGTTTCCTCCAAAGTTGTACATAATCTGCGAAAAGTAATAGCTCAAGTGGTACTTGCTAGGGAAGGTCATTTATATATAGAAGATATAAGGCGTGTGGGTACTGAACTCTGGAGGACCGCAGAAGAACATTATGTTGTCCTAGAAAAGTAAGGTTGATCTTTATGTTTACTCCTGAGACTGCCTTTGTGTTCCATATAAAGCTTGTAGGGATATTAGTTCTCAACTAGGAGATCCTTGAAGCGAAACATGATAATCCGGAAGATTTGCATTCAATGTTTAACATTTATAGGAGGTCAGATATGGTGAACGAGAGAACACGTAATCGGTATCACATTGCTCGTCATTGTAGGCGTGATCACACTGTGTGACATTTTGCTTTTCATGCTGAATATATTATTCTCGTCCCTGCCAAAACTTATTCTCTACAGGTCCTTAGCCGTAACCGCTTACTGTCACGATAGTATGGGTCTGTATAGACGATGTGACTTCCACATAAGATCTGATAGATTGGGTACCCATATCATGGCATATCTACAATAGTAGATTATTTCTATTATTCTAATGGGATAGATAAATGCACTATATACCGACCTAGACCATAACTTGACAAGCTTTTGTTGATAAAGGTTGTATGTGATAGCTAAGATGCTTAAAAACTGTTTTATTAAGATTTCCGCATCATCACTGTCGTTTTTGGTTGGGCCATTCGAAACTAGTAACCAAGAAACTTCCTCTTTGGCTTGTCGAAAACAGGTTACATGGCGGGATGTGTTTTTCGGATCGGAGACAAATTTATCAAATGGCTTGATATGACACTGAAGTTTATTTTTCGTTATCTTTTCTGTCCATCTGTTCCGTGGTTGTCTGAACTGCATACATATTCTGTCGTACATAGTCCTTTTGCACTCCGCCCAGTAGCACCTTCCAACACTTAGCATTTCGAGTATGACTCCTAATAATTGTAGGTCGCTTGTAGCATGTGTAAATCGTTTGTGGCTTAGACTGGTTTGTAGTATACTAGATTATTTGAAATAAGAAACCCTAGTGAATGTCCACATCAAGTTAAGGATGAGCTTCCCAGTCAACCACACAAGAAGTCGAGAATACGAAACGTGAATATGTATTTAGACTAAAAGTTCACGTAATCTTGCTTACTTACTTACTTACGCCTGTTACTCCTCGTGAAGGAGCATAAACCGCTAACCAGCATTCTCTATCCAACCCTGTCCTGGGCAATCCTTTCCTGCTCTTTCTAGTTGTTATTCATCCTTTCCATATCTGATTCTATTTCCTGACGTACTGTGCTCTTCAGCCTTCCTCTTTTCCGTTTCCCTTAAGGATTCCCAGTTAGCGCTTGCCTCGTGATGCAGTTTGATGATTTTCGTAATGTATGTCCTATCCATTTCCATCGTCTTTTCCTAATTTCCTCTTCAGTTGGAAGCTGGTTTGTTCTCTCTCACAGTAGACTGTTTCTGATGGCATCCGGTCAACAATGGATAATGAGTATCTCGTGTAGACAATTATTTATAAATACTTGTACTCTTTTGATGAGAACTGTGATAGTTATCGTAGTTTTAGATCTGTATAATAGAACTGTCTTGAGGTTCGTATTGAAGATTGTGACTTTGATATTGGTTGAAAGTTGTTTTGAGTCCCATATGTTCTTCAACTGTAGGAATGTGGCCCTTGCTTTCCCAATCCTCTCCTTTACATCTGCATTAGATCCCCCTTGTTCATTGATGATGCTTGCCAGGTACGTGAAGGATTCTACGTCTTCCAGAGTTTCGTCATTAAGTGTGATTGGGTTAGTGTTTTCCGTGTTATATTTGAGGATCTTGGTTTTCCCCTTTTGTATGTTGAGGCCCACTGATGCAGAGGCTGCTGCTACACTAGTTGTCTTCATCTGCCTTTGTTCGTGTGTATGCGATAGGAGGGCTAGGTCATCTGTGAAGTCTAAATCGTCTAATTAGTTCTGAGCTGTCCATTGTATTCCGTGTTTTCCCTCAGATGTCGAGGTGAGCATAATCCAGTCAACCACCAGAAGAAAGAGGAAGGGGGAGAGTAGACAGCCTTGTCTGACTCCGTTCCTTACTTGGAATGCATCTGTCAGCTGTCCTCCATCCTTTGGCAAATTTTTCGTATGCTAAGGCCTCTATATTATTGCCTAAACATCATCTGTAAAATATAGTCCCACCGGTAAATCTGTACTGTACCAACAGCTCAGAGTGGTTATAAGAACAATCTTAAAATTGTAAACTAATCAGTCAATATGCTGATGTTAAAATGTTCTGAAGATTCAAAAAACGGTAGGGTTACAGGATGTAGGGATTTTGATACAAAAGACAAACTTGCTGGTGTATACTGTGATAATATCGTCGCTCAAAAAATTTTAAATACCAAACTCAGTCTAATACACGATTTACAAGGAAAAGCCACCAGCACTGACACTGTGAATTTTCACCAATATCCGTAACATGGGGTAGTCACCAAAAACCAGAATCAGTTTCTAATCGTGGAATGACATCTAACCACACGAAATGATGAACTTCGTGCAAGGACCCGAGGGGACTTATATTGAATCTGGTTGATCGTCGTGTTCACGCCTCCAAGGCAGGGCTATTTGGCAATGCCCGTCCAGCTTTCGCGCTGAATTAGATTTACCGCTGAGTGCTATACGACAAAATGGGTCTTTGAATTAATTTGTATACAGTCGTTTAAATATATTTTTAAATTCCTTCTTACCTGAGAAGTGATTACGAAAAAAGGTTGCTCTTACTAGGTTTCTCGTAAGGGCCGAACAGAGTCTAACCTAATAGAGTCCTCACAGGGGACGATTCATTCGTCTTTCCTGTTCTTATCTCTTTCATCTCATGCACTCCTGGTGGGTTAAACTCAATTAACAGTTTGACATACTCGTCTTCTACCCTCGGAAAACTTATGTCCTTTAAGTGAGACCAGGATGCCATTTCACGTGCTGTTGGCGCAGTCTTGTACCCTGCCGGTGGTTTTTCGACTGTCAAAACTTTTTGGATCTTAACACATGACGAAAAATCTAGCGAGTGCCAACGATGATTTATTACTAAGTCTTTAAAGATACTATTTTAGGTTTTCCTTTGAGGCCTAACTTATTGGCTAGATCATCTACAATGAGAGAAGTATCTGCTCCGCTATCTAGAAAAGTGCAGGTCTGAATGATGTCACCATGTCTTAGTAATACAGGACCTATAGCTAACACAACGCCTCCACAAGCGTAATTTCTGCTCTCGCCACCATCTTTTGTTTCTCTGCATTGGTATGCACTGATGTGAGCGTCCACAAAAGTGTTTGCCCGTTCCTCCTGTTTCATGTGAAGCAAAGTATGGTACCACCAACCACACCCTCCAACCAAGTATGCTATTTGCGATCTACAGTTTTTTGATACACGGTTCACCCTCAAGCAAACATTACATGAGTTGTGTCCAAGTACAAATCTTTTCCTTTTTCTAACACCCTTATTGTAAAGGAAAAAGAACAATGAAAATCCATCCACAGCCTTTTTTGTTGGACAGTATTTTCATTTATTTGTTTCTTCTCCCTGTCATATATTTTAACATTTGTTCAGATCTCGTTTGAGCTATTATTATGTGGTTTTGATTAAAAAATTATCTTTTTGTTGCCGAATTTTTATTGCATGTTGCCGGACTATTGACAGTGAGGTCGAGTTTGACTAAGCTCAAGGTCACGGCGTTTTTCCCTTCTTTATTAAAATTTAGGTTGATTTTCACTGTTTTGTTCGACTTTTGTGGCAGACACAGACTAGTAGTGAAAATATTAGCTGTCTTTAGGGTTGTAAATATTATGTATATGCTGTAGATGGTTATAATACATACCAATATGTTAATATCATCTACTACAGTTAGATATATAAGCCACCAAATCATTATATTGCAGGAAATAAATCATAATCGTGCGAAAGAGGTACAATTATGTGATGATTTTATCAGAGACTAAGCTACGATACATTCATAAAGCTATTGAAGATGCTACAGGTATTCGGAGTTTGACAACGCTTTAACCAGTAACAACTTCTAATACGAAGCGCACCCACCAAGTGAAATCAAATGACAAGCGAGGAGATCGAAGATATATTTGATAAGCTATCAGTATATCGAGGATCGTCTGATCTAATCTGGCTAGTGAATGCAGTAGATGTTGAGTACGGCGTTCCCACACGTGATCTGGTGCGGATGCCTGACCGACCGCCTTCAGCTATATGAGTCCATTGAAACGAATGTGGTCAGCATCGAATGTCGAAAACTTACAGAGCTATATATATTGGGGAGTTATTTACCGCTACAGATCATTCCCCCCTTAGTGGGGTAGTGATGACCCTAAGACGTGGCCAGCCAGAATTTTAAACCCAAAGAGTTTTTCGTTGGTAAACACTCTTCTGATAGCTTGCTAGGTTTAGCAGCGTCTAGTCGTCTTACCTTACTATAATGGACCAT